TAATGTCAAAAGGGGGAAGATATAAAGGTTATGCACAGATTGAGGGGGAACTTTTTCTCTTGTTCAAAACATAAACCTTGTTGCATTTGTTAAGGGGAAACATCTCTCAAAAGTCTCAATATTTTCAAAGTCTCAAAACAATCCTCCTATGCATAACCCCGTCTTGTTTGCCATTATCAAAAAGGGGGAAATTGTTGAAACACGGGTTTATCGCTTTTTCGTACTAAAGCCGTGTTCGTTTTTATGACAGGTTTTGATAATGCCAAACTGCCGTGAACGAGACAAGTTGTTGAATATACAAGGCGAGAAATAAATATAAGAAGAAAGCAAGAGAACAAGAGCTAAAAGAGACCAAGAACAAAGACCGTAGTCTTTAGCGTCGTTGAGTCAGTCACAATGTGATCAAGACCGACCCAAGCTTTGCACTTTGGCTCTTTAGGCTAAAACATTCTTTATTGCATTTTACATATCATCAAAATTATTTTCAAACATATTAAAAACACTTGGTGTTCGCCCAAACCAAAAACCAAGCCATCCGGGGTTCGGCTTTCGGAAACCGGCGTTCGGCTTTCAGAAACCGGCGTTCGGCATTCGGTTATCGGCGTTAATTTTTGGCGTCCAAACCAACCAAGTGGTTTTCAACTTTTTATGATTGGTTTTTACTTCTGGGCACATTTAAATAGTTTTCCATCAAAAACATTTCAAAAACCACCTTTCATTTTTTGTCGTTTGATAAAAACCATGCGAAACGGCATAAACTTGGCTAGCCGTGGTTTTTACTTAAATGAAGTGGTTTTCGAGTCTTTTTGTGTGGTAATTGTTTTTGAATTCATTTAAATGGTTCTCCAATCAAAACATCATTAAAACCATCTTTCGGTTTTGTCTTTTGGTAAAAACCACCCGTGTACGGCGTTGACTTGGTCAACCATGGTTTTTACCTTAACGACGTGGTTTTCAACATACAAAGCTTATTTTGACATCAAAATACATTAAATAAGTGTTTTAAACACTTATTTTTTACTTTGGAGAACTTTGCATTTTTCGGTCGGGTTTCAGTGCCGGTCGGCCAAGCCATGGTTCTGGGCTAGCCATCTACCCAACGATGGTAGATATCACCCATGCATGGGTAAGTGATCCCGGGATTCCAGAATCATTCTACCCAGCGATGGGAGATATTACCCAGCGATGGGTAAACAGCCTTCAGCCCAACTGATTTCCAGAACCATGCCAAACAGCGATGGGAAGTTCTACCCATCGCTGTTTAAGCCTTGGTCCAACATTTTCGCAAGGCAGAATGCCCTTACCCAGCGATGGGAACCTTTACCCATCGATGGGAACCCAGCGATGGGAGGGCATACCCATGGCTGGTTAGGCATGACCGTTGTGAGTCATTTAAGGCTGATTCTTTCCTTGTTTGAAAGTCAACCTCCCACCCAGCGATAGGAAGCATTTACCCATCGATGGGTAGGTGACCGTTGGATTCAAAAATGAAGGAAATTTGGCTTACCAGTGATGGGTGAGTCTAAACATGGATGGGAAGCCAATATCCTGCAGATCCCAAATTTATTTAATCCCATAAATCAAGCCAATCACCCCTTTAATGTATTGGTCCGTTAGAGCCTATTTTGGCACTATAAAAAGGGGTGTTTGGGTCTGCTTTACACATCTATTCACTTCACAATATTCATATTATCATTGCATTCAAACAACATCATTTTTCATAGCTTTCTAGAGCCAATTTGTGAAGTTTGAGTTGTTCTTGAGCGTATATAGTTTACTCCACATCTACTCTAAAAGAGAGCCTTGTTCTTGAGTGTCTTAGTGTTGTATACACGTTTAGGGAAGCTTGTTTCCCTTGGTTGTACGAAGGAAAGGTATTTTCCTTCGGGTTGAAGTCTTGGAGTGCGGTATCTCCGAGCAAGTGTATTGAGGCTCGTAGGACTCGAGTTCTCAGGTTGTAACGGTTTGTTAAGCACCCGTAAGCTTAACGGAAGTAGTGTAGCTCGAGAGAGTCTCTCGGGAGACTGGACTAGCCACACGTTGTGGTGAACCAGTATAAATCTTGGTGTGCTCCCTTTACTCCTTTTTATTCCGCTCTTTACTTTATCCCTGCGATTTTTATTCCGCGAAAATTTATAAACATTCTCGTGCCTCACTATTCACCCCCCCTCTAGTGAAGGGCACTTATTCTAACAAGTAAAAGGGTAAATGTTGGACAATATGTGGAATATATTGCATATGAGAACCATGAGTTATAAGGAATTTTTTTATTTAGGGGTCTAGCATTACAAAAAATGTGCATATGCGAATAATTCTGAGACATCTCATAGGTATTTGTGAAGGAATTTGTGACTGTCTCATAGAGTAAAAATGAGTAGTTCTCTTATACAGAGTAATATAGTAAAGGAAATACTACATCTTTTCTTGAGCACTTCTCTCATGTTCAACTTTTGCAATCAATCACTCTCAACTTTTGATCTCGAATATAATCATAATTAGATAGTATTATAGTATTTTAATTAGATAAAATAATATTTTTGAAATATTTTATAAAATAAATATATTAAAGTTATTTTGTACTCATATTAATATCTGATATAAATTTTGTTTAATCGGCGGTCAAATTTTGTCACTTTAACGATAAAAAAATTAAAACTCGACAAATACTCAGGGACATGGTAATATTCTTTAAAAAAGGTAAAGAAAATATATTTTAAAATACAAGAAAAGAAGTGGGAAGGGACAGATTTAGGAAAGGAAAAAAAGACGTGTAGAAAATGAATTGGAAAATGGTTAAGCTAATTCCATAAAAGTAGGAAAAGTTAATGATTGTTATTCTAAATAAGTAAAGAGATAATAGAGTTAATTATTTTCATTAGTGCAAGATTAGTTCATAAAGAAGTGAAGTCTTCACTTATTTATATGTGGAATGATATTGGTACAATGCTAAATTCATTACATAAGCATGGTGAAACACCTAAAATTAAAAACAGTGTTAGTGGCATTTTTGATAAAATTGATTCTTTTGAGTTCGTTTTTATTGGAAAGTTTATGTTGAAACTTCTAGGTATGACTAACACCTTATCAAAGATATTACAAGCGCGAGATCAAAATATTGGTTGTGCTTTGAATGTGATTGGTGTAGTAAAAGAGAACTTACAAGATTTAATAGATCATGGTTAGGATGCCTTTTTGAAGGAAGTTAGTGAATTTTGTGAAGAATATGCAATTGATGTACCTAACGTGGAAGATTATCTTCATGGGCGATCAAGAAAGAAGATGAAATGTGGTGAACCCATGACAAATTATGTGCATTTTCGTGGAGAGATCTTTGCAAAGATATATTACTTTTATTAACTTTAAATGTTGATATCATTTTTGGAAGTATTTTAATATCATAACATATTAAATAATTTATTATTATAGTTATTCTTTATTTGATGTTAGGTCATTGATATTCTTGCTGTGGAAATGGATAGACACTTTACAGAGACAAACACAAATTTACTAAGATGTGTAATGTGTCTTGATCCTTCTAATTGTTTTGCGAGTTTTGATCAAGATCGGCTATTGGAACTTGTTGTATTATATTCAGAAGATTTTAGTTCTAGTGATCGAGTTGAGCTTATTCATGAACTTCAAAATTACATTTCTGATATGAGATCGTGTTAGCATTATGTATATCTGTTTATATTGTAGTACTGTATATTGGGCCTGTTATGTTGGGCCCGGAACTCTTGTATATATACCTTTACGTATCAATGAAATAGCCAAGCAATTCAGTTCATAAAATTCTACATAGTATCGAAGCATTTTTTCTGCGAAGTCACGTAAAACCCTAGAAATTTTCTGTCTACTGTCGCCGCTGCTCCTCGTCCCGTCGCGGTAGTCGAGTTGAGGAACTGTGACGGAGGGACTGGAAAGTCCTCGGCGGACGGATTTAGGACAGGCGGAGGAGAAGGAGAGGAGGTCGGGACAGCGAACGGGAATTGAGATTCATCGAAGACGATATCCCGGGTGTGAAAAAAATTATGAGTGTCAAGATTATAAACCCGCCACCCTTTTGTACCGTAAGGATACCCAACTAACATACATTTGACACTACGAAGAGAGAATTTATTTGTGGGTTTGGGATTGAGACGAACAAAACATAAACAACCAAAGACGCGGAGATGACTTAAATCTGGAGGCTTCGAAGATAAAATTTCCAACGGGGATTTACCTCCAAGAAGTTTAGTAGGAGTACGGTTAATCAAGTATACTGCCGTTTTGACACATTCCCCCCAAAATTCAACGGGTAAAGAGGCCTGAAACATAAGAGAACGAGCAACATTTTAAATATGACAGTGTTTGCGCTCGACCCGACCATTCTGTTGCGGGGTACCAACACAGGAAGTTTGTATACATACACCCATAGAGTCATAATAATGGCGTAAAGAAGTATTTAGGAACTCAGTGCCGTTATCAGAACGAACTACCTTTATGACTTTAGTGTATTGGGTGTGAATCATTGAAAAAACGTTGGAGACATGAAGTGACTTCATTCTTTGTACGAATAAGGTACGCCCAAACAGCCCTGGAAAAATCATCCACAATGGTGAGAAAATAATGAGCACCAGATGACAAACAAGCAGTATATGGCCCCCATAAATCACAATGAATCAAATCAAAAACGGCTTGAGCTTTATTATGACTAACAGAAAAAGAGGACCGAGTTTGTTTGGACATAAAACAAATCTCACATGTTTGAAGTTTCTTGACAACAGATTTGGATTTATTAAAATTAAAGAAAGAAAAAATATCAGGGGATGGATGACCCAATCGTTGGTGAGGGAGAAACGGATCAATTTGAGCAGCACTGGCCGACGCAGGAAAGGAAGCAAAGTGATAAACTCTGTTCTTCAGTTCACCCTGTCCAATCACCGTCTTCGACGAACGGTCCTGTATTACACAACCATGAGCATTAAAAATTACATGACAAGTAGTATCTCGTATCAAGCATCCTACAGATATTAAATGGCAGTGCAAAGTAGGAACAAAAAAGACATGATGAAGCACTAAATGAGGAGATAACTGAACATTTCCCTTCTTTGTAGCTTGAATACGAGATCCATCAGGTAGACATATGGGATGAGGAGGTACATCCATTATATCAAACAAATGAGACAAAGTGCTCGTCATATGGTGAGAGGCACCACTATCAATAATCCAGTCACAAGGAGAAAATAAATTACCCGAATAGGTGTGTGAGGCGGAGGCTTCCAACATAGACATGAGACGGCTCATCTGATCACTAAGAGCACCATTCGTATCTCCCGAGGCAGCATGAACTGACGCGGCAGGGACAGTAGCCGACCCACTGCCACGACCGGACATAGCAGTCCCACTGCCCGGGCCACCACTAGGCCCGCGGCCTCCTCTACCGACGGGTTGACCAGCCCCACGACCACCACAGGTTGCTCCACCACGGGTACCTCCTCCGCGACTGAATTGAGATGGAAAACCAATTAACTCAAAACATGTTTCCACATTATGATTAGTCCGTCCACAATGAGAACATAACAATTTCCAGACGAGTATGGACGGCGATCCGACTTAGCCGCAAAGGCAAGTGAGTCTGTACGATAATCACGAGCACGCACAATGTGCCGGTGACGTTCCTCCTGAGAAACAAGATAATAAGCACGGTCAATGTCTACCACAGGTTCGGTTCCAAGAATCTGGGACTGAATGGAACCAAACTGTTCATCATCCAAGCCGAGTAAAAAATCAATGGTTTTGTCTCGTTCAATACGAGCACGCGTGAGGGCAGCCGCCTCACACTTGCAGCCGTTGGTGGGATCAGATGTACCAGTGAGTTGATTCCACAAAGTAATGAACTGATTATAATAAGAGACGACCGTTTGATCCTTTTGTCGCAAGGAATTCAACTCAGATTTTAACTGGTACACACGAGGACCATTGGAACAACTATAACGCTTCTTCAAATCCTTCCAAAGCACAGATGCAACAGTGTGAGACACAATACTAGGTTGAATTGACTCATCAACACTGTTGAAGATCCAACTGCAAATTATTTGATTATTGGCAGACCATGCAGATAACTCATGCTCATCGGTGGGTTGGGGAATACCACCGGGGGACAAGAATATAGATTTACCACGACCACCAAGTGATAACTCATGCTCATCGGAACGCTTCTGGTATGGTTCTTAATCAACGTAAGTATACTCTTGACATTATTCAAGAGCATAATTTGTCGAGTTGCAAGCCTGCAGAGACACCTATGCCGTGCGCTCACAACCTTGCTCGTTCCACTAGTGCTGCGCTGCGGGATCCGGCAAAGTATCGACGGCTAGTTGGCCGTTTGCTGTACCTGACCATTACTAGGCCGGATATTTGTTATGCGGTCCATGCCCTGTCTCAATTTATGCAGGTACCACAGTTGGATCATTGGAATGCCGCCTTGCGTGTTCTTTGTTATCTCAAGGGGCATCCCGGACAGGGAATTCTCTTACGTAGTGATAGTGATCTCGCCCTCACTGCCTTCTCTGATTCTGATTAGGCGAGTTGCCCGATAACTCGACGGTCTGTGACAGGTTATTTTGTCTTGCTTGGTGGTTCTCCTATTTCTTGGCGAACTAAAAAGCAGACTACAGTTTCGCGTTCTTCAGCAGAGGCTGAGTATCGTGTCATGGCTAATGCTTGTGCAGAAATCTGGTGGCTTAGAGGCTTACTTGCCGCACTCTCTGTACCTTGTGTTGTAATTCCTACACTGTACTGTAAAAATAAGTCTGCGCTCTTCATTGCCGCTAATCCAGTTTTCCATGAACGGTCCAAGCATATTGACATTGATTGTCATATTGTCCGGGAATGTATCCAGCGTGCCCATATTGTTACTGCTTATGTTCCTACACGGTTCCAGTCGGCGCCACTTTTTCGCTCTCTTTTGTCCAAGTTGGGCATTTTCGATGTTCATGCTCCAACTTGAGGGGGAGTGTTAGCATTATGTATATCTGTTTATATTGTAGTACTGTATATTGGGCCTGTTATGTTGGGCCCAGAACTCCTATATATATACCTTTACGTATCAATGAAATATCCCAGCAATTCAGTTCATAAAATTCTACAAATCGAATGAAGTTTTTGCTAATATCTCCAATCTTGGAAGTCTTGCAAAGAAGATGGTGGGGATGAATTATCACGCATATTTTCCTTTGGTATATCGGCTTATAGAATTGGTATTGATACTACATGTTGGGACTGCTTCAGTGGAAAGGAGTTTTTCTGCAATGAATATTGTCAAGACTAATTTACGCAACCGTTTGGGAGATGAGCTTTTATCAGATTGTCTGTTGTGCTACTTTATGAAAGAAATTTTTTTCCCGCCCATGAAATTTTCCCTAGCTCCGCCACTGAGTGAAGAGTATATGATTTAAAAAAAGAAATTATTAAATGGTTGGTGTATGGTTAATAAAAATGGGTAGATTTGGAAGCTTCAAATTAAAAAAAATTCCATGTAAGATTAGTCCCACACATGTTTTAGTCCTAAGGGAAAAAAAATTTCCCTATTTTTTTGTTCAATCAAGTCTTTTTCTTCACTCTTCTCATACTTTTATTGCCCAAAATTTTTAGCTAATTTTACAATGAATGAAATGAGATTGTTTTCTTGACATGCTAATTCATACTTATTTTTTAGAAAAACTTGTTTTTACTAAGAACAATATACATGTATTTATTTATTTTATGAAAAAATATGGATAAGATTATTTTTTATATAATGACTAAAATTATATTAAAAGTTTGAATTATTATGAAAAATTATATTTCCATGTCATCTATAGTAAAATTTGACGTCATCGCTAAGAATTTGAGACAATAAATAAGAGACATTTGAAGAAAAGGACCTAATTGAACAACAAAATAGTATAAGAACTACTCCCTCCGTTCTCAAAAAGAGTTCCTACTTTGACAAAGTGTAGAAATAAGGAAGTATTAAATTATACTCCATTCGTTCCTTTAAACACTTCCTATTTTGACTTTAAGCCAAAATAAGGAAAGTATATTTTTAGTTGACTTTCCAATTTTGGTTCTCTCATGTGATGGATAAAAGTAAGATGTGATAGTTTGGTTATTAGTGAAAAAGTATGATGTGATAGGTAGAGTATGAAAAAGTAGGGGTAAAAATGATTTTTTAATAGAAAGTGGAAGTGTTTTAGAGAATTTGAAAAAACGAAAGAGAAATGATTTTATAGAACAGAGGGAGTAGTTAACTTCCAATTTTGTCCTTGGTGTGATGGGTAAAAGTAAGATGTGATGGATAGATTATTAGAGAAAAAATATGATGTGATAGGTAGGGTATGAAAAAGTAAGGGCAAAAGTAGTTTTTTAATAGAAAATGGAAGTGTTTTGTTGAAAGTGGAAAAAATGAAAGAGGAACTATTTTTGGGAACGGAGGGAGTAAATTACTTTCGATTTTGAGTAAGGATGTTACGGGACTATTATTATTATTATTATGAAAAGAAATTATTTATTGTTAGTTAACTATTATTAGGAAATATTATATTTGTTAGGCGATTAATTAGTTTCCTAGTTTATTTAGTTACCTTTTATAATTAGGATTATTAATTATTTAGTTACCATTTATTATTGAGATTCTCTAGAGTTGGAGCCTATAAATATATCCATCACCATAGTTTTATCAATCAATAAATAAAGAAAATACTTTCTCCTAAACCTTAATCTCTCTCTTTCTCGCCTCTTTTGTTCTTGGAGCTCGAAAACGCTCGAAATCCTTCCCTATCCCGATACGATACCGTATCAAAGGATGAGTTTAAACATTTTTAGATAGTGCATGGACATGTAGGATACTTTGTGGGAGCAAACAAGTGGCGCAAACGACTTGTGGGAGCAAGAAGGTGCTAGCTAGTGTTTTTCTTCATTCCTTTTTGGCAAAGGATGAAAATGTCAAATATAACATTAAATGATGGGTTTCAACTTTAGGGTAGCCACAACCCACAACGGGACGAAGGCAGGAGGTAGTTATTATGGATGCATCATGCATGAGCGAATATGCAGAATGGAATTTCCCAAGGCTATGCTAATGCTAGAGGGGAGGGGGGGGGGGGACTGGTATGGGATGATGGTGTGAGGTCAACATCACTTTCCTAGCTACTAAAGTGATGAAAGTGTTGGCTCAATTGCCACTTTAATTAATTTCAATTCGTCTTGGGCCGGGGGTGAAAGTACAAGATCAATAAATAACAGAGTATGCTGCGCCTTCTGTTCCAACTTCATTCTCATCTCAAATATAATGGATACATACACACAGTTGGATTTAATCAATGCTAGCTAGTTCCATGCCTCATCAAACTACCAACACATCCTTCTTAAAGCGTTATAAGACCAAGACTCAGCATGAACCTAACCATCCATGCATAAACATGAAGAACATTATCTAGAAACTAATTAACGTACGTAGTCCTTGAATGGCGACGACTAGCTAAGGCCTTTTTTAGTGAGGGACGGAGGGAATGCATATGCTACGACCGAAGCGAGAAATGTAAGTTCGTGGGGGGTGGAGCGGAAATCACCAATTGATCAGAAAGCTATGCAAACAAATCAATCAATTATGCTGTAGAGAAGATACTGCAGCACTGTCACAGTAACAAATGACAGAGAGTGTGTTATAACACCTTCTCCAGCACAAGCACACACACAAAAGCAGATGGCGCAGGGGGTGTTATAGCGCCTACTGGGCAGAATGCTATAATTATAAAATGCGTAAAAAAGAACACCAGATACGTTTACGCAGTTCGGAGAACTCTCCTACATCTGCGGGGCCCACGTTCGTGTAATAGCCCTCCACTAAATCACTAGATGCAAGTTACACCAGTACATAACAATAAGATGAGGCACACTTCTGCGAATTGTTATGACAAAACTTCTAATAATCTAGGATTTCTAACCCGTACCCTATACCGATCTGCTTCGGATATCACATGTCCACCGAAACCACGAGGACAAACGTGTTGGCATCCCACTTATTCAGCTCTAGTTCATCTCCAGGACGTCACGATCTGTTTGGCGTTGAAGATCTTCTCCTTCATGTAAATCATAACCTTCTTCACCCATGGGAAGCTCTGAGACACGACGGGAATACTCTACATCAGTGTATATTCTTTGTTTTCCCTCTCGATCGCTCCCAGGAATTCCTAGGGACCTACTGCGTGTTTATAGTCCAATCAAAACCCAATCCTAGTAGGGATAAGTTAGTAGAAGTTGAATTGAAAACAACTTCCCTAATCTTGATCCACAAGTAGCCTAGAGAGTTGGGATTTCTTAACACGTACAGCTGGAGTTATTATCATGTAGTCACAATCCCAATAGGTCTTTGATTCAGATTCTAGCTTAAAATCTCGTGTTCAGGCTTCAGATCTCGAACAGTGTGTTGCAGGATCGTGATGTAGCATCTTCTGTGTCAACCTCAAAAACTACAACAACTCTAGAAGTCTAAATAAAATAAAACTTTTGTGACAAATAGAGGTTTCTACCTGCTAGTAAAACACCTAACAGATATGGGATTCTATTTTGCCAAAAGATTAGTCAACACCATGGAACTAACAAGAAAGTGTGTGTGTGTGTGTGTGTGTGTATGAACTCTTTCCATCTCTAAAAGTATTTCTTTCATTTTTCTTTGTTTCAAATTCTCTTTCTCTTTTTTATTGAAGAATCAATTTTATACCTATAAGTTCTGACTAACCTATCACATCATATATATTCAGTAATAATGTATGCATATATGTAGCATATATCTACCAACATTCCTGTTAATGATATTTCATGAGGTCTATATCCATGTGGTTGTGAATTTCCCTACTCCGTAATTGACATTCTACAAGCATAGATGAGAATTGAGAAATCACTCCAATGGGATAATGTCACTATTTGCAGGATCACAAAAACGAGATAAACAAATCATTATTTTCGAAACAGTAGTCCTTATATATTAAGAGAGATCCTAGTTTCGTCACAAATTATAAAGTACAGCGGGCTGTTTCGTTTTTTCGGTACAACTGACAATTAGATCGATGGAAGGGAAGGCGCACCGACAAAGGAGGGACTAGCCCTAGTGCGACGATGCATTGGTGAAGAATGAATATTTTCTATTGAATTATTATGAGAGATTCATGTGTATATATACAAGAGTTTCCTAATGACAATAGGAAACAATAATTAATACACCCTATACAAATATGGTAGCTACAATATACATTAATATTAAATATAGTAAGAATATATTTAACATGCTCCCAACAGCGCCAACGAAGAATGCCGCACGCCTAGACAGTCTCGAAACTCGGAGAAGACCATGGAGGGTAGGCCCTTGGTGAAGATGTCTGCATACTGTAGGGAAGACGGCACATGAAGAACTCGTATCTGACCAAGGGCTACTCTGTCACGCACAAAGTGAATGTCAACCTCGATATGCTTCGTGCGCTGATGCTTGACTGGATTGGCAGAAAGGTAGACGGCACTGATATTGTCGCAGAAGACTAGTGTAGAGCGTGTCAGAGGTTGTCGGAGTTCGAGAAGAAGATTGCGTATCCAACTAACTTCAGCGACGGCATTAGCAACAGCTCGATATTCAGCCTCAGCACTAGATCGAGAGGTGGTGAGTTGTCGCTTAGAGGACCAAGAGATAAGGTTGTCGCCTAGGAAAATGCAGTAACCAGATGTTGAACGACGAGTGTCTGGGCAGCCTGCCCAATCACCATCAGAATATGCCCGCATGTGATCCGTCTGAGAGGGTGATATAGTGATGCCATGGGTAGGTGTACCATGTAGATAGCGCAGAACACGCTTCATAGCTGTAACATGTGGCACACGAGGATCATGAAGAAATAGGCATAGTTGCTGCACGACATAGGTAATATCTGGGCGGGTGAAGGTGAGATACTGCAGTGCTCCCACAATGGAGCGATATAGAGAGGGATTTGGCGCTGGAGGACCGACCGTGGCCGAAAGCTTCCCTCGGGTGTCCACGGGTGTAGAGACCGGTTTGCAGGAGGTCATGCTGGCCCGTGCAAGTATGTCATAGATGAACTGAGTCTGAGTGAGGAATAGGCCATGAGAGGTCTGCTGGACATTGATCCCGAGAAAAAAGTCAAGGTCGCCCATATCTGTCATAGCAAACTCCCCTTTTAGCCGTGCTGTGATCCGGTGAAGGAGGGCAGTAGATGCTGCTGTGAGGACGATGTCATCAACATAAAGCAGGAGAAGTGCCATGTCCTGGCCGCGACTGTAGACAAACAAGGAGGTGTCGCTCTTACATCCACTAAAACCAAGAGAGAGAACAAATCCTGTGAAGCGCTGGTACCAGGATCGGGGTGCTTGTTTGAGTCCATAAAGCGCCTTATTTAATCTGCAAACATAATGTGGGCGAGCAGGGTCCTGGAATCCCGAAGGCTGAGCGAGGTAGCCCTGCAAGAAAGCATTTTTGACGTCGAACTGGTGGATCGACCAACCTCTGGACACGACAAGGCTCAGGACAATGCGTATAGTGGCCGGTTTGACAACCGGGCTGAAGGTCTCGTCGTAGTCGATGCCATGGCGTTGATTGAACCCACGAACAACCCATCGAGCTTTGTACCTGGACAATTCACCTGTTGGGCCAAGTTTGTGGCGGAAAAGCCATTTACCGGAGATGACATTTTGGTCGGGGGAGGGGGGTACTAGATCCCATGTATGATTAGCAATCAAAGCATTATATTCATCTAGCATAGCATTGTACCAGTTAGGATCTTTGAGAGCACTACGGTAGGTGGGTGGTATGGGGGAGATGGAAGCAACGGTGTTTAGGTTTAGGATTTGTTTGGGGCAAAAGATCCCAGCCTTGGCTCGGGTGACCATGGGATAGGAGGGGGCTGAC